TCCGAAGTCTCACGGTGCCTGTTTGTCATTGCGGCCCACGGCCTACAAACTGCAGCCCTGATTCGGTGAAAAATGATTTTTATCAGAAACCACGATCTCATTACAGACGCAGCACGGATACTGGGGTGCTTGCTGGTAATCTAAACGCCGAAATCGGAAAATTGTCCTCTGATGAGCTTCATCTGGGCGGCCAACATAGTGTAGGCTCCCGTTATGATAACCGTGCGTGGTTGCTACACCTGTGGGAAGCAGCTTGTCTCTTTCTCGCGATCACTAGCGGCATAGCTCCCGAAGAAGCGTGACTTGGAGCCCACCAGCCATATACTCAAATCGATCACATCGCGATTAGTTACTGCTGGAGTGGCTGTGTCCAAAACTGTCGCTTTATTTGGAACACGAACATGAACTCCGCTCACGCTTTTGTGTGTGCTGACTATCAGGTGCGTTTCGGCGGGCGTCCGGATCGTCACTCTGAGCGTACCAGCCAGCTGACGAAGCCAGGTGTTCTGAATGTATGACAAAGTGCGCTGACATCCGGCCTGAGTAAGCGCCTATTGAACACTGTCGAAGATCACTGGTCGCCTATTCGTCAAATGTTACTAACAACAGGCATGTCTTCATGTGGCAAATCAAATTGCCCAACTGGACATTGGGTCTCTACACAGTCTCTGGAACTTATGGATCCTCGTCGACGTATTTCGGCTGGAAGCGAATATAATGAGGCTCATAAAAATCTCAAGGCAAAACTGCGTGCTAGCCTGAAGAAAGACCGCTAATCCTGGTGGTCTCATCGTGCCTCTGAGATGGAGACAGCCGTTACCGTTGATACTCATCGTAAGTTATTCCGTCTGATACGGGAAACAGGCAGCAGGAGACCTGGTGTTAGCGATACCATACGCGACGAAAGTGGACAGCCGATCTACAACCTGTCAAAAGCTTGGAGCGTTGGGCCGAACACTTTGCAAGGCAGTTTAAGCAACCTGAGTTATCGGTTTCTTTTTCGGGCATTGAGTGCCTTTCTTCTTGGGTCATCTCCTTGGATTCGCCCTCACACACAGAAGTCCAGCGTGAGATCAGATTTTAAGAGAGCATGAACAAACAACATTTTTTCGGGATAACCTGAATTCAGCTTATTTCATGTATTATCATTCAGCCGCTTACAGACAAATTGTCGAAAGAGTAAAGGGAGGTCATCATCATGATATCATAATACACATCAGGTAGAGGTAGGAAAACCTCCGCTATTGTGCCGCAATACATGAAGAAATTACATATATACATACATACATGCATATAATACAATACACAAAGGAAAAATAGATACAACAGTTGCATGCCAGCTGAGCTACCAGCAACGGATAGGCATCGTTCCGGTAAGCTACCAGCCAGCTACTAGGCAAAAAGAAAAAGAAATTATTATGTTTTACCCTACGAAATGAGATTGTGCATAGAGGGGGGAGGCTAAAAGGGATGGGGAGGGACAGAGAAACTCACAGCACAAACGCCACTGAGGTCGGCTCCTTGCCATGTCAGCAATTGTATCCAGCCAAACGTGTTCACCGTCTTTTGGACCCCAACCAGGGAGCCGTGACGCTCCAACGGAGGCTAGCTCCGAAGTGAGGGACTTCATTCCCCTGGACCAAGTCATCGCTTGGCCACCCCTCCCCTTCCATCCATATCCCCGGTGAGCAAACAACGCACGTCGAGGGAGTCGGTGCGCTGGCATGCGCAACACGTGGCCGAGCCGTCGGAGCGTGGTGCGTGAAATAACGGTGCTGAGCAGTTCAGATCCTTTTCCTGTACCGTAAAGAAGGCGTCGAACACGCTCGTTACTTACCAGCTGTTCCCACCAGATGTGAGCCAAACTGCGAAGGCACCGATGGTCGAACTTAACTAGCCTTTTTATGTCCGCTGATCTTAGGGGCCAGATTTCGCAACCGTACTGTGAGGTCTAACATATCGCTGCATTGTACACCCTACCCTTCAGGGCGAGAGTGATGTCGCGCCGCCGCCATAAGTGGCGAAGGTTAGCAAAAGGTAATTGAAAAGGGTTCAGTAAGAAAATTACTAAAGCACTGAGAAAATCATGGTCATCGCCTACGTCTTACCAGGGCTTGCAAGACTGGCCACAAGGTCGATTTGTTTGCAAAGGCTTGATTTAATTCGCCGGATAGCAGAGACTTCAGCGAAACGAAACAAGCTCGCGTTGTTCTATAGGCTGATAACCTTGAATGCGTCACGTGGGTTTTCGCACGAGGTACAATCGAGCAGATGCTGAGCGATTGAGTTGGCAGGAAGTTTAGGACCTCTATTTGCCAGGTTCCATGGAACATGTTCCATGATCCTACTTGATAACCTTCTCGGTTCTGTCAATGTACGTGCTACGGCAAGTACAGGTGAATTAGTAAACACATGAGGTGGTAACTTGATTGTGGATTCATGGAACAGCCTCTTGATTTGATGCAACAACATGAGCTCCGCTGCGTAGTAGCATCTTTTTATGGCTTGGCGTAATCGGTAGCACAATCTTTTGTCGTTCTTTTCTCCTTTGTATAGCGTGATGAAGACCTTTTTCTTTGGGACATCCATTCGCTTTTCTTTCTTAGCAACCTCATTCCTATACATGGCAATAAATTTGTTCGGATAGCCGTTATTGCATTTGTTAGACTTGATGTATCGTAACTCAGCCTCGATTGACTCTTCATAGCATATCCGGTGGGCTCTAACAAAACAATTTCGAACTAGGGATCGTTTGTAGTTCATTGGACAGTAACTGTTGAAATGTAGGTATTGTCCGGTCCAGCTTGGTTTCCGGTAAATCGATCTTATCAATGAACCATCTGCTTTTCATTTAGGCGCAACTTCAAGAAAATAAAACGGATCATCTGATTCAATTTCCAGAGTGAACTTGATATTAGGATGACATTTGTTTCATATTTCTAAAAGGATTCGCTTGCTTTGCCATGTCAACTACAACAAAAATATCGTCGATATACCTCGTGTCGGTGTGTTTTTCTAATGACATCGCGTGATAAGTTACTCCAGATGACCCATAAAGATGTCAGCTAGAATCGGTCCGGTTGGGCTACCCATCGCAACTCCTTCAATTTGACGATATATATTCTTATCAAAGCAAAATTGGACGTCTTTCTTACGAATGCTGAGTATAGTCTTCAATCGATGTGCATGCAGGCCAACTTTGTCCGCATGCATACTTCTGGTGTTCTGATGGGAAATGGTTGAATGAGATCAGACTGTTGAAATTGCATCAGGCCGCAGGGGCAGATAGAATCCCCCAGCCTTCTTCAACTTCATCGGGCCTGCTTTTGTGGTTGATGTACACGAGTTGCTAATGGAACTTTGGGAGTAGGAAACTGTCCCCTCAGTCTGGAGCCGCTTCGTCATAATCCCAATTTCCAAGGGAGGCTCCCGTTCGAATGCGGCAATCCTGGAACGGTCAGTCTGATCTCAATTGCCTCTAAATTGCTTGCGTCTCTCTTTCTCGACAAGTTGACTAGTGCTCATGAAAGCCAGATCCACGAAGAACAAGCCGGGCTTCCTCAAGATCGTGGCTGCATCGACCACGTCTTCACTTTGCGTCAATTGTTGGAGCACCACCATATTTACCTTCGGCTCATCGTTGTCGGTTTCCTCGATATCAAAGGTGTCTTCTATTCGGTAGATCGATGTGCCTTCTGGAATTGTCTGTTCGGTGTGCCTAATAAATACCTAAACATTATCAAAGCGCTGTGCGCGTATAGTTCGGGCAGAGTGAGGGTTTATAGCAGACTGTCGCCGCCCTTCAATATCTCCATCGATGTGAGAAAGTTCCCCACTGTCACCTTTCCTCTTTAACTTCGCTATTGACGAAGTCACAGAAACAACGTTCGTTGGACACGACCTGGAAGGTATGCAGCTAATTCCTGGTGAGCGACTTATTGACTGGGAGTATGCAGACGATATTGCCCTCATCTGTGACAACTCTCAAACATACCAAGCAGCACTGAACAGGTTGGCACTGGCTGTCTGTCATTTTAGGCTCTGTTTTGCCCCATCGAAATGCAAAGTAAGTCACCAAGGTTGGCAGGAACCCAACCCTGCGCTGACCCTTTGTGCTGATCAGCTAGAAGTCGCTCAAGAATTCAAGTACCTGGGCAGCTTTATTAGCGCCCGTGGGATCTGAGATACGATCGCGAACCGTTACAATAGTTTGAGGTGCTTTTGCTAATCTCCGTCACCTGTGGCGCAGACGCATCATTCTCGCTCTGAAGGGCAGAGCGTATAATGCAGCAGTCCGTTCAACCCTCTTGTACGGTTGTGAAACCTGGCCCATCATATCGACAGGCATAAAGAGGCTAGTCACATTCGACCATCGCTATCTTCTCAGCTTAGCTCATGTCTGGTGGGAGAACCGCGTGAGCAGTGAGCGTGTTTGTCGTCGAGTGTTTGGTGGAGGAAGGAGCAGTGAACCGCTTAGCACCATTATATCACGCACCAGACCCCGATGGCTGGGCCAGGTTTTGCGCATGCTAGCACACCGACTCCCGCGACGTGCATTGTTTGCACGTCGGGGTACGGTTGGAAGAGGAGGAGGAGGACGCGAGGTCAAGCGATGACTTGGTCATGAGAAATGAAACCCTCTCTTCGAAGTTGGCCTCGGTTACTGCACCCTGATTGCTTGATTGAGGTCCTTAGGACGATGAACACGTTGGGTTGGACACACTTGCTGATATGGTTTGGAGCCGGTCCCAATGGCGTTTGTGTTGTGAGTTTTCTTGTCCACCCCTCCCTTTTAGGTTCGCCCTCCAATTCCGATCTCATACGAATTACATAACCTAATACATAACATTACATGGTCTGCTTTTGCATTTTCTTTAGTGTACATGTTTTGTATCTTGCCTTTTTGTATTGCGGCACATTAGCTGAGGTGTTTCTCACCCCCAGCTAACGTGTATTGAAGATGATGATTTGCAAACCACCTCTTGCTTCCGCTACCTCAGGCGCGTGCTTTCGACCGACCTCCAGATGACGAGTGAAGTGTTCATACGCGTATCGAAGGCATCTGCTGCATTTGGACAACTGTATAAACCAATGTGAACCAACCACCATTTGACCGTTGGGACGAAGCTGTCGGTGCCTCAGTCAGTGGTGCTGTCCACCTTTCTTTACGACAACGAAACCTTGACGTTGTATCGGAAGGACATCCCGTATTTGGAGCGAATCCATCATCAATACCCATGTCTGATTCTGCGCTTCGGTTGGTGCGACAATGTTGCAGACACTGAAGTGCTGCACTGCGGTGGCATGTATGGAGTGAGGTACGTAATTCTGGTGAACCACCTAAGATGACTCGGGGATGTACGCCGTATGGTTCTGCCTGGATACCGAAACAGCTGCTTTATGGCCATCTGCGTGCAGAAAAGCGGAACGTTGGAAAACTGAAGTTACTTAACCAGTACATGGGAGGCGATGGCATTGGATCGTCACTAGGCCCGATGACATAACAAGAGTGCTGGCTATAGAATTGAAGACTAGTAGCTCAGGTTGTTCAGATGGCAGTTGAACTGTTCGCTGAGCTTGGCAATTTGGTTGCAATCGTTTCGTCACCAATCGAGGTGACATCATCAGTGCGTAGTTGAGTGGCGTGCAGTAGCGTAGAATAGCGTAGAGGAGCCTCGGTAATAGTGCGCTGAGCGTGGTGTGCGTGCGTTTTTATACCGCGGTGGTTGCCCGTGGAGGCGAGCAATCCTATTGGTTGGGATTTCGATCCGCCTTCGGCCTGATTGATGGGCAAGTGATCTTTGACCTTGACTCCTTGTGTTTCGTGGCCTTTGTCTGCTTGCGCTTGTGGGCGAGTCTGCCGTCAGTTCTGGTTGGCCAGCCACACGTTCCACCGGATTCAATCGATTGAGTTGGCGGTGTTTTGCCAGTAGTGTTGCGTATACTGCGTCCAGTTCGATGTGTCGATTGATTGAATTCGTTGTGGAGTACCAGGCTTCCAAAAGCTCCCTGGTGTGTTTTGTACTTCCATGTGCTAAGATCTTAACATGCTCCAGATCGAAATGGTGGCCTTCCTGATCTTCGTGCACAGAAACCAGTGAGTGCGGATCATGTCTTCTGAGTGCCGCCTTGTGTTCGGTGATTCGTTTACAAAGCTTCTTTCCCGTTTGTCCGACGTAGTTTTTATCGCAGTCGCTGCATTTTAGCTGATAGATGACATTGCATTGGTCGGCCTGATTGACTTTTCCTTTGGGTCTTGAGATCAATTTCCTTAGGATAGCACTTGGTTTGTGAGCCACAGAGATCCCATGTGACTGTAGCAATCTTCCTGTTACTTCGGAGACGTTCTTTATGTAGGGGAGCACTATTCGTTTGTTTGCTTGCTCAGGTGCCTGCTGCTGCTGCTGCTGTTGTTGTTGTTGTTGTTGATGAGACGTTCGTTTCTTTAGGCTTCTTCTGGGGAAGTTTCTCGGATAACTTTTGTTTTTAAACACTTGGTATAGATGCTTTTCTTCCTGTTTCCGCAATTCGACTGTGCTGCAGTGCGTTTCCGCTCTTTTGAATAGGGTTTGAATGCAGCTTTTGTGATTCATCGAATGGTTGCTGTGGTAGTTTTATATCTGGTCCGTATGCGTTTTCTTCTGATAAACGCACCTTTTCAGAGATCCGTTGGGGTTCCTAGTGACCAGTACATCCAAAAATGGCAACTTGCTATTCTTCTCTAATTCAATCATGAATTTGATATCCTCGAATGTATTGTTGAGCAGCTCGTGCGTGGCTTGTACTCTGTTCCTTTTTACGATGACAAACGTGTCGTCCACGTATCGTATCCAGAGTTTTGGGCTGATAGATGACAGTGCGATGCGCTCTAATTTCTGCATTACTGCTTCTGCAATGAGTCCCGAAATTGGAGATCCCATGGGAGTTCCTCTTAATTGCTGGTATACTTGTCCATCAAAGCGGAAATAAGTGGTCATGCAAAGGTTCAGGAGTTCCCAAAACTTTCGGCTCTTAGGGCTATCGTTGGGCTTAGTTGGTTCTCAAGTAGTTCCATCATGGTTTCTTTGGCCAATTCGTGACCGATTGAAGTGAAGAGCGCGGTGACATCGGATGAAAGCATTATTTCATCGTCTTCTATTCTGACACTCCGCAGTTTGTGGAGGAATTGTTCTGCATTGTTGATGCTATGTTCGGATTCAGCAATCAAATGTTTCAATCTCCTCCACAACTCTTTCGCTAGTTTATATGATGGGGTTCCGGTGAGCGAGACGATTGGTCGTAGTGGGACACCATTATCGTGTACTTTTGGTAATCCATAGAACAGCGCAATATTCGTATCATCAGCTTTCATTCTCCATCTCTCCGTGGCGGTGAGCTCGTTCTTTGTTTGTAGTTTCTTTAGCGTTGCGTTGACCTGGTTGACCAATTTTGAACTTGGGTCTTGATCGATCTGCCGATATGTAGTTGTGTCGGATAACTGTTCTTTGGCCTTTTTAATATACTCTGGTTTGTCCAATATCACTGTCATGCACCCTTTGTCCTCTGGTAGGATTACAATGTTCTCATCTTTCTGTAGATGTCTAAGTGCATCATGTTCTTCCTTGGGTAGGATCTGGGTGACTTTATTCCGAGTTAGCACTGGGACAACTGTCTGCCGTATCTGTTGCTGGGACAGTCCATTTGATTTCAATGCGTGTTCTAAGAGTGCGGTTGCCCAGGTGCGTAAGAAAGTACTGTTGCACGCGGAAAAGGAACGACGCTTACGGAAGCAACAGGCGTCGATGGAGTCCAGCCCTATCGATGTAGAGCACATTGTGTTCTAGCGCGTGTGATCGTGAGTGCCTCAGCCAAATGGGGCTGGTAAGCCACCTGCGTTGCATGTGGGGTAGATATTAGAGAACCAACGATTCGGGTGAAAACGTAATCAAGCGCAGCACTTAATAAATACCTAGCTCCCGATTCAGTTTACTAGTCCTGGTCACTAATGTGGTTGATGTGGTACTGGTACTACATCATTACTGCACTTGATCTGTACGTTTCATGTGATTAACTTTTGCATTTCATTTGTTGGTTTTTGATTGTTCCGCGTCAGACTGCATGTGATTGAATTCTTTTTTCTGTGCTCTCTTCGCTCTCATCGGCATATTCCCTGTCTATTTTTGTCGTTTGTCCGTGTTGGTAGACTTATATCCCCGTATCCATATTGCACTAGATCAGACTGAATACACATTTATTTGTTTTTCTCTGTTCTTTGGTTCTTCCGCACATCCACTGTCTTTTTGTGTTTATTTTCTTTCAAATTCTTTAGTTATTGTTTGATATCCCCAGTGTAGCTGAGCTTGATGTGGATGTTGACGAGGTGTCTGCGTGTCGAAAAACTGCTACGCAGATTATACTGGCTCCAGGAGACAGTTGGTCTTCACTTGGGGAAACAGGGTGCACGGTCCTCGTGGCTGTGCTAGGCTGAAAGAGTTGCAGCTTAGCCATCGTCTTGTGTACGTCTGGTAGCGGCCCGGTGGCCGAGTAGTCTGCACGCTTAGCTTGCAGTCAAGGTTGCCGGTTCGAATTCATGTTGGAGCGAGTGTCCTCACGATACACTCAGCCCACACACGGCTGATGGTGGTCGCGGGGCTACGGAACGCCGTTACAGCGTACAGCTGACGATTTATTTATTTACGTCTAGTACGCATGGTTCCCAATTTAGAAAGACAGGAATGGTGCTGTTGTACATATTGAAGGATTGTGCGCGAGCTCCGTTAATGATGTGTAGCTCCCATCCGCATGCTTCTCGGTCTTATTCAGTTTTACACTGGATATTGGGTGTGTGGATGGAAATGTGGGTGTTGCGCTTCAAGCCACCTATGGTCCGTTTGTAGGCGCAGGCGTCCTGTGCCTGTCCCCATGGACGCAGCAGGGGCGGGCAAAATCGGAGCCGGGTACCGCCAACGCAACTCGGCTCCGCTGTGCTCCAACTCTCCGCGCTTTTAAGGGTATCAGTCGACTGCCGCATGATCGTGTTTATCATCGTCGGTAAAAATGCTCTCTAGGATCTTTGTGTTAGATTTCATTGTCACCTATGTGATCGACAGTTGAGGTACTGCCACGCTCCCATGTTCGGCAACGTGCGCTTAGCTGCTACGCACATGTAATTGTTGTCGAGTGTGTTTTGCTTCCTGGGGCATTGGAAAAACCACTTGTGTTTGTCCTGAGTTCTGCTTTCACTCACGAACCACCGGTTTGAGTTGCGGAACTAATAGAGTAAGAGTTGCGTCATCTAAGGTGTGCTGCAGTCAGAAGCACGATGTTACGGCATTCTCCAAGTATTCTCCCAGTTTTCACATTCCATTCATCGATCTGGCTCACTATTCCACAGGTTCCACCTCAGAAACTTTGTTGGGATCTGGACTGCTTCCGTGCATCACATAAACCCTTTAACAGTCAGCGTGTTCCCTCTTCTCATTTTCATGTACTGCTTTGTCGATTCACTAGAAATGCGTGTGCAACTTTTGTTTATCCCCATATCAGTCCATGCACCTCATGTTCTGTTTCTCCCCCCCTCTCTCTCTGGTAGCCTGCGGTGTTCGTCCTAACCGTCTTGTGATTTGACTCGATGGTGTACTTTCCCTTGTTCTTCAGCTCGTGCCGGATCATAGCAGGCTACACTGCTTCTGTTTTCTATTTCCGTCATCCACAAAGATTTTCCTGACTGTGATTTATTACAACGAGTCATTTAGGAGCCATGGATCCCTTATGAACTCAAAGCGCTTTACTCGTGGTGATATACTTTTTTCAGCTGTTGCTGGTGCCCCATCTGATGTCCATTCTCCTCACGACTTTCTTTTACGTTCCAACATCGCAGCTGACTTGGCTTCTTGCCTTGGCGAAACTCCGGTCTCTCTATCCGATTGCCTGTTGGACCCTAACATTGAACTTCCGGCGATCACGGTGTGCGAAGTTGACGAAGTACTCGGCAACATCGCGTCGTCCGGCCTTTCCTCTCTTAGCACTAGATTCACTACCTTCGGAGTGCGATCTGTTTTGCGCGGCGAGGGTTTCAACTTATCGAAGCCTAACTGTGTTCCTCCTGACAGTTTCAAGAATTCTTCTAATGGTAGCGTGAACTCCGCGGCTTCTTTTTGTCCTTCCGGTATGCAATCACGTCTCTTTCCTCAGCCCCCTCAAAGACAAGTGCAATGCTGCTATTCTGCCAGTTCAGTCAGCAGCTCCACCGCCTCGAGCAAACTAATTTCGGTACAACTTGCACAACCAGTCGAAAATGGTTTACTCTACCATACCGGGGAAACTTTCGAACTTCCTTCGCACACTTCGCATCGTTGTTCCCAAACGAAAAGCAATTTTGCTAAAGAGAGGGTTCATTTTTCTACCCCGGAATCTTGTTCTTCTCAGAGCCCTGTCCCAAGTGATTCTTCACTTCAACCACCTTTATTCTCTTCGCTGACTTCGGACATTTCATCACCCGGCCATCAAGTTGCAGATGGTTGTGGGGAGACAAATTGCAGTTCCCACGTTTCTGGTTCCGTTGAAATTGAGACGTCATGTGCACTTGACGATTTGCCTCCATCAGCAGTTACTTTCCCGTCGGTTGATAATCTTGAGTTGGTGAACGACTGTCCCACTGTTTTACCCCCCGTAACTAGAAGTCCAGTGTATTCTTCGAAAGTGATGAAATGTGGCCTTACTTCGGAACCAGTAAAGCACGACAGTTGGTTGACTTCCGGACAAATCAGCACTAGCATTTCAACCTCACATGTTCCATTGGAGGCTGCTACTGAAGATGCATTTGAGGTTAGAACCACAATTTGCCTTCACTTTTGTTTGCGATTAAGCCATCAGTTTTTCATCATATAATGCTCAGCATACTGTAATTGCTCGTTCTTTCTGTTGCTCCAGTTGTCTGATAATCAGTACACAACCTTGGTGGGAAAGCACTGTTATCGTGCCTTTGGTGTGTTAACTGGGGTGTCGATGCATGCCTACTGGTTATTTGACCCCTTTACCGCAGATGCGTTGCTGAAACCCGTAGGTGAACGTTCATACACCCGTTCATCACCGCATAAATGTCATTGGAAATTGGCCGGTTTTCTATTTCCTAGAATTACCAACGATCCCCATCATGTATATGTTCTGACTGAATCGTTCACTTAATGTATTTGCGTCAGTTAAGTGACTTGAAATTTATATTGTTTCGTTGCAAGCATTTCACATCGTCATCTTCACCTTACCACAGAACGAAGCATCTAATGATGTTTAAGTACCTAGTCCCTGTAAAGCTCTTCATTTGGTCAGGTGAACTCTGGTCCCTGGGTTTTCCCCGATGTGGTTTCGATAACTTCTGGTCTCTACGCTCCGTACATAGCCTTTGATTGTACTAATCAAACTCTAAAACTACACTGGATGGAACCACTCCGAGCTTAGCACTGCCAAGGAGATCGTGCACCCCGTACCCCAAAGCAAAGCTTAGGCACGTAGGCACCTTGTCAACATTCGGACCAAGCGCAGCCACACCTGGGATGTAAAACAACCAACACATAACTAGAAGGAACATAAGCACGAAAAGTTGACACGGATTATGCAGCGGAATAACAACTGAGCAAATCAAGTAATGTGGAATACTTTTTATCAAGGACAGGTGTCGCCCAGCTGCGGTGAGGAAGCATGATGTATGCAACACCATGCATTATATATATATATTTATATATATGCATTCAGAAACAATCTTTTGTCAACCTAAAGCTGCCATAAACATAGGGGTGAACTTCCGTCATTCGTTTTGTACCCCAAGCTTGTCTAGTTGCACACACTGTTAGCTGTATCTGTACATATTTATTCTTTTTAGTGCATGCATTTACCAGTTTACGTCATCCTTCCGTGTTTATCAAGTTCTGTCAGATAACCGACTGACGAACTTTGAGTACGCGGACGACATAGCTCTCCTTGCCTCTGATGCAGTGGCTATGCAGCCACTATCGCACAAACTGGTGGGTTGCGTGGCAAGCTTCAGGATGTGCTTTGCAACGTCAAAGTGCAAAGTGTTGTTGCCGACTCGGTCGATACGCTACCTGTTTTTGGATATTAGCGAGCAGCCACTGAAATTGACAGATCGGTCCACTTACCTCGGTTGTGTCACCTCTCGTAGTCACATTATTGAGGAAATTACTTTGCGTATCAGCAGGGCCGGTGGGGCTTTCCAGAGGCTCAACCAACTATGCAGACGGCGGGGTGTCAGCCTTTGGGTGAAAAGTAGGGTTGTACCACTGTATGGATCAAAGACCTGACCACTTCGCAGTGAACACGTTAAATGATTGGCCGTGTTTGACCACTGGTGCTTGCGGACTATTTGTTACATCTAGTAAAAACCGGATTAGCAATGCTAAGGTCCGCCAGTTGGCTTTTGGAAAGAAGTCTTCTGGTGTCTCAGTCGCTTACGTATGTCGCTTGGCCGACTTCCTCGTTTCGCATTATTCGCCGTGGCTGCACCAAGTTGGGCGAAACCGCGTGGTGACCAGTTGATGACGTGGCATAGAGGGATGAAGAAATTGACTGAGAAACTTCATCAGGCTGGTGCGTGTCGTTTTCTTAAATGGGAGCCCCTGTATTGTCCTCACTAATGGTTGGAGACCATTTCAGACATGGTGCAGTCGTTTATCTTCTTGCATTCGATTTCATTTATTCCGGTTAGTTTAACCCACTCCTTGCTTGATTTCATTATCTTTGTTTTCTACTTGCGTTCAACCTCATTGTTTATCGTTATTCCGACTTCAGTCGTAGCAATTTGATCGACTGCACCTCGGTGTCCAGATCATAGTTATTTACTTGAACGGGACTGATTCTGGTCAGCCTTTTCGTTCGTTCGTCTCGTTAGTGCCCTATGTTATCATCTTTGTGAAAGGTGTTATTACTTCGAGGTTTTGCGAATGATATTTATGGGTGGTTATGGACTCATACGAGACAGGAAGTGTTAGCTCCAGGTGGGCACGCTAGTGGTTATGTTGGAAGCGTAGTCAAATTCTGCGTATCAGCCGACATTCTGCCACTGACTTTCTCCATCTATAGCTGTTGGCTATGTGGTCACGTTTTCTCTAGTGAGCCTGTGCTGGGAGGTTGTGCTGAAGTTTACTAATGTAAGCGATCACCATTGTCAGAAGGACTATCCATGACCTCTGAGATGGTGTTATGACTGATAGGCGGTCATTCAAGTCGCACGGAAGGATCACGGTATCCGTGCTTTCAGTGGTTCGGATAAGAGGAAGAGAGTTTGTGATAACCTTCGTCTCTGACACCCTCTATGTTGTGGTGAGTGGGATCGTAGGCGGAAACGACATAAAGTCACCTTGAATTCAACCGTTGCATGTTAACCCTTACAGAACTTCGACACCAAGTGATATGAAGATTACTCTTCACTGTGATCCAGTCTTACTACTCCCGCACTTCTGTTGTTATCTACTTCGAAAGCGTAAATACCAGGAGTCCTTGACTCAGCACCACCGGGGATGCAAAATTCGTAAGTCGTCATTTGGACGCGAGACTTATAAACGCACGTAACTTAAAACAGTTGTTCTGTATGTGTGTTTCGAATGCGTGTCATGCATGAGTCCTGGGGGGAGGGTGTAAAGTCACGGCAATCGCTGTCTGTTGGTCTAACTGACACGTGCATGGACTGAAAAATCCAATATGGTATGGTATCCTAGCTTTGAGAGTTGAACCAGTGTTACTCGCTTTCAACACTGAACTCCACGACTAGTTTCTTCTTTTTTCGGATCCTTCTAACTGCAATGGCAAGCCTGCTCATAGGGATCCAGATGGCAATCGTCAACCGCCGCGTGCCACGTTTCGCTTCTGATTGTGATTACCACCTTGTAAAAATCCATAGAAAGGACGAAACGAGTCGTGGAGTGCAGAAATGGGAACGATCAAAACTGAAAACTCCACTTCGCATGTGATCCTGGTGATTGGAATGATCGTGGTTTACTTCATATCGCGATCATTTACCGCTGGAGAGGCTGTGTCCAAAACTGTCGCTCGATTTGGAGCACGAACGTGGATTCTGACCACGCACTTGTATGTGCCGACCTCCTGGTGCGTTTCGGTGGACGTCCGCAACGTCGATGTGAACGGATTGACACCAGCCAGCTGACGAAGCCAGATATTCGGAATGTGTACCAAAGTTCGCTGACATCTGGGCTGAGTAAGCGCTCACTAAACACCGTTGAAGATCACTGGTCGCATATTCGTCAAGCGTTGCTGTTAACAGGCATGTCTTCATGTGGCAAAGCAAATTGCCAAACCAGACATTGGGTCTCTACACAGTCTCTGGAACTAATGGATGCTCGCCGACGTATTCCGGCTGGAAGCGAATACAATGAGACTCGCAAAAATGTCAGGGCAAAACTACGTGCTGGCCTAAAGAAGGACCGCGAAATCTGGTGGTCTCATCGTGCCTCTGAGATGGAAACAGCCGCTGCCGTAGGTAATCATCGTAAGTTATTCCGTCTGATACGGGAAACAGGCAGCAGGAGACCTGGTGTTAGCGAGACCATACGCGACGAGAGTGGGCAGATGATCCACAGCCTGTCAAAACGCTTGGAGCGTTGGGCTGAACACTTTGCTATGCAATTTAACCAACCTGAGTTATCGCTTTCTTCTTCAGGCATTGAGCGCCCTTCTCCTTGGTCCGTCTCCTTGGATCCGCCCCCACGCGCAGACGTCGAACGTGAGATCAGGCTGTTGAAATTGCGTAAGGCCGCAGGGGCAGATAGAATTCCCCCAGCCCTCTTCAAATTCGGGGGACCTGCTCTAGTAAATGATCTACACGAGTTGCTAGTAAAACTTTGGGAGCAGGAGACAGTCCCGACAGACTGGAACCACTCCGTCATTGTCCCAATTTTCAAGGGAGGCTCCCGTTTAGAATGCGGCAATCATAGAGGGATCAGTCTGATTTCGATTGCCTCTAAATTGCTTGCCTCTGTCATTCTCCACAGACTGACTGACACTCGTGAAAGCCAGATTTGTGAAGAGCAAGCCGGATTTCGTCGAGGTCGGGGCTGCATCGACCACATCTTCACATTGCGTCAATTGCTGGAGCACCGCCATGTTTATTGGCGACCCACCGTTGTCGTGTTTCTTGACATAGAAGGTGCCTTCGACTCAGTCGATCGATGTGCCCTTTGGGAGTGGCTGCTGAGGAAAGATGTGGCTGATAAATATGTAAACATTATCAAAGCGCTGTACGCACATAGTTCGGGCAGGGTGAGGATTTATGGCAAACTTTCGCCACCCTTCAGTATCACCAGCGGTGTGAGACAAGGATGCCCGCTGTCACCTTTCCTCTTCAACTTCGCTATTGATGAAGCCATGGAAACAACGTTCGCTGGACACAACCTAGAAGGTGTAGAACTACTTCCTGGTGAGCGACTTCTTGACTTGGAGTATGCGGACGATATTGCCCTAATCTGTGACAGCTCCTAAACATGCCAAACAGCACTGGACCGATTAGCACTGGCTGTCAATCGTTTTGGGCTATGCTTTGCTTCATCGAAATGCAAAGTACTTCTCCAAGATTGGCAAGGACCCAATCCTGCACTAACGGTTGGTGGTGATCTGCTAGAAGTCGTTCAGGAAATCAAGTACCTGGGCAGCTATATTAGCACCCGTGGGATTGAAGATGAGGTTACAAACCGTATAGCAAAAGCTCGAGGTGCTTTTGCCAATCTCCGCCACCTGGGGCGCAGACGCGACATTACTCTCGCCCTGAAGGGCAGAGTTTACAACGCAGCCGTTTGTTTAAC